GCTTGAGGTCTGGAGGATCCTAAATCGTCCTTTTTTTCATTAAAGGGTATTCTGACCAAATATCTTCCATCTTGGTCTCTCTTTGTATTTTCGGAGAAGTGATCTTCTACTATTTGGTCTTCTTTCTTCAGAATGCGGTCGGATGTCACTTCTTCAAGTTCCCAGAATTTTTTCAATTGTTCATCTTCTTTGTATCTGGCGGTCATGTTGACTATTTTTATGTTAGAATCTTGACTAGGATTTCCCCCGGACACTATCCATCCAAATTCCGTGTTTTGGCCAAGAAATCCATTTGCTGTTTTGTGCACTCCGTCCAGCAGTATTTTGGCCACTTCTTCAGCTCCTAGGAGAATGTCTATGGGTCCTATCTTGTTGAACGTTGGGTCAGCCAATACTTTGTTCTGCCATTGTTCCATGTCTATATCAAAACTTTTTTCAGGCAGTGCCCTTGTTAGTTTAGGTAGCACTAGGAGATTTGTTGTCAGCTTAAATGTACTCGGGAATCTTGGGCTACAAGTAAGTGTCACTTGTTGGCTTGATGTTTTTATGTCCCCATCTCCAACACCTGATAGGTCTGTGGATACCTTTTGCCTTGGAAGGGCTAATAGGGTTGCTGCTTCTTCCGTGATCAAGGATGCTTGAGAGCCTTGATCGATGAGTACTCGTGCATACTCCACACCTCCACTCACTGTTGTGGCCTTAATGAGTGCGGTTGCTAGTAGTACTATTGGACTCTGCTTCCCCACGTGGTTGCTTGCCTTGTTTTTTTGGTTGTCTACCTTTGATTGGATTTTCTGTTCCGTCTTTTCAAAGTGCAAGAGCGTATGATGACGTCTCGAGCACACTGCACATCTTTTATCTGATGTGCATTTTGCAGCTGCATCATGCCATAGGCAATTAATGCACACATTTTTTTCTCTTATTGCCTGGCTCCGTGCTGTTACTGACAGGCCCCTGAACTTTGGGCAATAACTTATCGTATGTTGGTCTTGGCAAAAACTGCACACGATCTTACGCCCATTAAATGGCTGTTGCCTCTTGTTCTGTGCTGCATTTGTCGCCGTCAATCTGGGACTGCTGGGTGTTGCCTCTAAGGATTGAAAACGGTTTCGCAAGAAGTTGATTTGATCTTCTAAACATTGAATTACCAACGGATCCTCGATAGAAGACTCATATAACCTGTTCGTTTCAGCATCCCATTTTTTCGAGATCAAACAGCTCAATTGCAGCCATGCATTCACTTATGGTGTCGTGGAGTTCTTGTAGTTTTCTGGCTGATTCATGGTGAATTGGCGGGAACTCCATCATTTTATTAAGTAACTTTGTTAATATTAACCTCTTGTTATTGTACCTTTTTTTTAGCTGCTCCCACGCTGCTCCGTAATTAGCATTTGTTATGGGAAAATGTTGAATGGCACGCGCTGCTTCGCCTTTAAGGTGAGTTTTTAGATGCTGCATTTTTTCTACGTCGGACAAGCGTCGGTTGTTATGGATTATTTGCGTAAATATGTCTTCGAAATTGGCCCATTCCTCGTAATTACCTCCGAAAACTGGAATCTGGACCTGTGGTAGTTTGATTGATGTGCTTCTATCATTGTCGCTTTCTGTTTGTTTTAACCTACGTATTTTTTGTCGTAGGTCACAAATGCGGTCTTCGCATTCCATTTCGATTAGTGTATACGTGTTGTTCGTGAAATACGATGCCTGACGTAGTGTGTCGTCGGCTCGGATTTCAAAATGTGCTGATACTATTACTTGCCATTGATTAATTAATTTTTCAGACAGAATTTCGTACCTATCTATAGTCTGGTCATGGGCTAATGCGTCGTCAATTCTGTTCATTATTTGCTGAAGATCCTGTATGCGTTGCATCTGGTATTTTACTCGTGTATCTTCGTCTTCGCTGGATTCGTTAATACATGTTGTTGAGTCCTGAATGTACTTATAACAGTCCTGATACGATTTTTCGATTTGTTTATAATATTCTGTTGTCCAATATTCATGAGATAATTCTTTGATTTTAATTATCTCGGCATGAGTTTGTTCCGCATTGGCCCAATGTTCGTTCAACGCCTCAGTGCGGCGTTTGAAGTATTCAGTTGACTTTCTTGAGGTTGAATCTTTCTTCATGTTGGTGTATAGTTGAAGGATGGCCTTCCCAGTGACCTGTTGTTTGGCCACCAGCTCGTTCATTTTTGGGTTTGTGTTCGTCATCTTAAGTTGTGTCGATTTGATTGTTTTCTAGATATGAAACTGCACCACTTCTGGATTGGACTGGTACAATTTTAGGCTCGAAGGACCATGAAAAGAATCGGATCTTAATTAGGATCCCGAATCTTTGTAATAATGTCCCACTAGCGGAGCGCAGCCTCACGCTCCAGTTAAGGCTTGGAAACTAGTGGGTAGTTGAGTAAAACACAATAGTCTTGTTAATACTGACTTTAATTATAAAATTGTTTCCTTATATACAAATGGGATATTTTATTTTACATACTTATTTTACAAACATCTTAATGTTAGAAGGTTGTATTTTGTTATGTTATTGCTGACGCGGTTTGTTCGCTTAGATGACCGAAGTAGGTCAACTAAATAATAAATGTTTAATTTTAAGATTAAACACACGTTAAGGACAATATTTAAAAATCCAATGGAAATAAATACAACAAATGCATTATTTTTACTATTTGTAAAGAAAATATGCATTCAATTTTGAAATTATAATAAAAATGTAATTTCCCTTAAGGAAAATACATATAATTTCAATTATCTAATGTCTCATAGAAATCAAGTCGAATTAAAATGAGACTTGATAGCCATGTGTAATAAAAACTAAAACGGCTTGCCATAGGACAGTCCGTGTTCCTTGGCAATCGCCGATTGTGGTGAATATACAGGTAATCAGGTTTTCAGGTAGCTTATCGGTGTGACCTAACCTTAATCACTCACTCTCTCACAAACTTTTACGACTCTATATATATATATACTATAATAACTTATTATTATTTCCTTTCTTTTTGCACTTGGATCTGTTATCACGTGTGGAATCAATATTGATTTTTTTGTTAATGAACTTTAGCGGTGATGGCACTTTGTAAGTACGAGCGCCTGTCGAGACCCTAAACGCGACCGCTCGGCTCAAGGCTAACTGCGTTACTGGAGACACCATGTAATTTCATGTCAATTTAAGTAATTTCAGATGTTTTCCTTTGTTTTTGGGCGATATCGTCATGGCAGTGATTTTTTTCTAAAAATGTAATTTTTTCAAATTTTGGGCATTGCTTCAACTCCGATTCGGAGGATAATATGCCTCTGTCGCACAACTTAAAAAAAAGTATATTGGAATGGCAGGATTTTGGAAAAAGTGTTTCCAGTTTATAGGAAACAGCTCAAGGTTAACGACTGGAAGGTGGAAAAAATAAAAACTTCTAAGTTATATCTTGAGAAAACTTTTAGAGTTTGTCTTGTATGTTCCTCCGATTTAAGCCGACAAAGGTGAATAACGGACACTGTTGTTTATAGAGCGATATATCTGACCTAAATATCAGTAAAATTGTGGGGAAAGTAGATAAGCCTTCCATCAGAAAATTTGTATACATACAAATTTTCTGTGAACCATTTTGATATATATTAGTTTAATAAATGTTTTCTTCTGAGCTCACATTACTTTTGTAGAAATTTTTGTACCGTACCTATACTATATTAATAAAGGTTATTTTTGCAATAATTGCATTTTTTTATAATCTCTTACAAACGCAAAAATAAAGTCCATTATTTTTAAAAACATATTATAATGCCTCTGATTACCCCCACGCCGTTTAAAGTGCTCTAGTCATTGAAATAACATGTACGTCTCTGATAACCCCACATGCGGGTAAATAGAGACACTGATAAAAAAAAATCACCTACAAGCAACTAGAAAAATATTTATTTTTATGTATTAGAATATCTCGACCCCACCCGACTTTTGGGAAATAAAAAAGTAGTTTCTAAAATATGTTAACGAATATCCCATAAAATGTGTCTAATAGCCCCATTTTACGGTACTTCCATGCTTAAAATTTGTATCCATGACTTTATCATGACTTCCAGGATTTCCAGGTTTAGTGGGAACCCTGTATATATATATATATACAGGGTCCGTTTTTCGATTCTAAGCATGGGTATTAGAGCGGGTCGAATTTCCGTTTTATTTTAAATTAATTTGTTAATAGCAAAAATATTAATCTTTGAAGCAAAAAAAAAGTATGTGCAAATAAAAAATTTTTTGACATCTTAGGCTAGCCGGGGCACTTAAAATTGAAAGTAAAGAAAATATTTTTTTTAATTAAGTTAGTAAGTTTAATTTTCCACAACAAAAAATCATTTTCAATTTCAATTATCGCATAAATATAGTTTCAGAGATATTTGCGACTTCAGTTATAAAAATGGAAATTATGACAATGGCAAATATCTAAATTATCTTATTTATGCGATAATTAATAAAGACTTTTTTTATAGAGAATTACATTTAGTCACAAAATTTATATAAACAAAATTGTTTCACCTTAAGGTTAATATGTTTGCCATTATAAATTAATTTCGACCTACTCTAATGGGTATGTCGCTTATCTTATCTCGTCAGCAAAACAATTTTGTCAGAATTTAAATTCCCTTTAAAAAAAACCTTAATGATGTCTGAATAAGAGAAGGCTAAGTAGGTTAAATTGTGCAACTTTTTCCCAATTTAACCCGAAAAAACGGACACTCTGTATATCGAAAAATATATATCGATATTTTTATATCAATTTATTCCTAAAATTATAGATATAAAAAAATCGATACATCGTTGCCATCCCTAGTCACTGGTTACCAGCCAAATCGCATGTACTAAACATTTAAAATTAGGGTATTCCCCGATCCTATTTCACTGGCGCTGGCCATGACCATTGAAATTTCACTACAACCTTAAATATTTTATATTTCTAAAACTTAAACTTAAATACAATTACTATATTTTTTAGGTGTGGGAAGAGTGCCTTGGGCAAGTGTTGTTCTTACCAAATCAGAATAGGTACACTCGTGCAAATTTGGCAAGCAAAAAAGACAGGCTTGAATCGGCAGAAAAAAGATTGGAGCAAAATCGATCACACATGGCTAAAGAAGCAAAAAAAGCCGCTAAAATGGAGAAAAAACTTAAGATCTTAACTGGTGGTTATCAGTCCAGAGCTCAGGTCTTAATAAAACAGTTGCATGATCTTTTTGATAACATAGATCAAGCAAATTTGGAGCTAAATACATTTAAGTTTTTGCAAGAACAAGAAAAGAGTGCTTTGCCCAGAAGGATACAGGTAATATTTTATAATAATTTGTATTACCTATGTAATATAATACACAAGTAATTAATTATTTTATTAATGGTTTTGTACAATTTACAATTTTTTTTAGTCTCTAACTGAGGATGTAAATAGACAAATGGAAAGAGAAAAAGCCCTCCAACATAAATATGGGGAACTACAGTTTCAAATGAAAGAAATTCAAGATCAATACTCTCAAATTCATTTAGAAGTTAATGGAATTCAAGAAAATCAAGAAAATAGGGTTGAAGAAAGTACAGAAGTTGAATAAATTATAAGTTGAATAAATTATAAGTTGAATAAAATAAAATATGCTTTAAAGTTTAAAGTATTTTATTTACAATTATCAGTCAATTAAACAATTAAAAATTCTTATGAGTAAAATACTCATAAAAGACATTGTATATTTCTCTTTTAATATACATTTTATCTTTTAGGTTTGGTACTTTTCGTAATTCCACAATTATTTGTTTGGCAAATAATTCTTCTTCATCATTTAAATTTAAATTCTCACTTTGTTTTTCCACAACACTTTCTTTACACTGCACTACAACATTTTCACTAATGCAAAGGGGATCATTAAAAATAATTTCACTATTTCCCAACTCAATTTCACTTTCATCAGAAGGTTCAATCTTAACTGCATTTTCATGAAATTGTTCTGGTGTATTTTGTTCATTACTTTTACTTCTTCGTTTCTTATAACTGTTTCTATGTTGAATATAAGAATCAAAAAAAGACATAGCTTCATAATGTTCCCAATTTCTCACATGTTGTTGGCCCCCTTCTTTGAGTATTCTCCTGATCGTATTGTATTTATTTCTTAGGACGCGCCATCTTCCCTCAATCACTGTATCTAAAAATAATAATTATTATAAAGGTGGTTTTTCACCTAACGGACTAGTAAGGTTTCTTTCACAGAAAACAACTTGGATAAATTCAAAATTCTGTTTTCACCAAGCAGACAAGGGTGATTTTAACAAAGAGAAAAATAACAAAAATTTGATTCTTGAACCTTTAACTCGCAAACCACCAAACTACTAAAAATTTTATATTTTATACTCAAAATAAGCTCCTCTATAGCATTACTAACAGGTTTAAAATTAAATGTATATCAAAATGGTCCTATAGTGCCATTTTTAAATACCCAGCTAAGCTTCGTACAACATTCTTTTTAATTAATGGTTTTCTATGGATAATTTAATTGGCTAACAATTTAGTAATGTTCATTTCAATAATATTTTTTTCAGGGCTGCATCTATAGCGGATGTGTCATAGACCAAAAAATTATTTAAAAATGTTTGAGAGGGAGTTTGGTATTTCCGTTTACTTTTTTACCACTTTAAATAGTAATATTCTATTGATAAGTTGTAGCATATATAGCTAAAATGAATAATTACAGAGATTACCAAAAATGTGAAAAAAATGTTAATTTAACTTGTGTGTATCGTCTTTGGATAGTTTTAAATATAAATTTAAAGGTCGACGACTGAAGGTGTTTGAAGACATTTTAACAGGGTTGGTTGCCCAGTGGGTAGTCAATCCACATAAACAAGAGCGCAGGGTTTTTCAAAAGTGTGTTTTTAATGGTATTTTTTCTTAAACCTAAATTCTTTGTATACATTTTATATTTTTGTATTTTGTGAAAAATACATACCTAATACAACACATTTTTATGTTCTCGTTAAGTCGTTAACTAAAGCTGGTCAAACTAAAACTGCTTTGATACAAAGAAACGATCAAACGAAACTTAATTTTGAAGTTCGGGGATTCCCCTTCCGATCTGTATTCTATAGAGGTAGAAAATAATTCGTAAAAGTAAAAATACTTTTACTACTTTTACTACATTTTTCTTATCAACATTATTTCTTTTTGAATGTCGTTTTTTCACTAAAATCTGTATATAAAAAATAAAACCCAAAAAAGCCCAGTGTCTTGGGTTTTATTTAAAAAAACTCGGGTTTTCCTAACCCTGCATTTACTTTAGTTATGTTTTATTTCTCAATATTATTTTATATTTTTACAAAAATACTAACACATTTTTAATCTAAACCGTTGAGTTAATCAATGCCTAAAAAAAATTGATAATTTAATCATCAAATTTTAATTTTTGGTTTTCGCAAAAAAAACTATTATTCTTCCTTTATTATATGACAAATGCTAACAAAAGCGTATACCCGCTAAACTTAAATATATTTCCTGAATTAATGGGAACCCGTTAAGGGCTCTATGAAAAATTGCTTTTTTTGACTTATCCCCTTATGCCTTTTACCCACAGAAATCCTTATTGCAGTGGCGGCTCGTCACGGTAGGCCTCTGAGGCCGCGCCTCACCCTTAAAATGAAGGAACGAACGACTTTTTGTAATTATATTTTTGCCTATTACAAGTGTATTTTTACAACAGTTCTACCCAATAAAAAGTAAAAAAACAATCAATCATACTAAGCGTAAAAAAAAATCCAGGCGCAAAGCGCGTCAAGTTAACGTGCATCGTTGAGAGTCGCTAGGACAGAGGCGAAATTTTCACAGCCTTGGAAGCTCCCATTTACCTCTAGAAAGCCAAAATGACTCACCAACAAAAATATCGCGGGAAGTTCGCGAATAAATACCGTAGATTCAGTCGTAGATGAGGCGAAATTTAGTTAGCTTGGCTTGTTCTGATTGGTGGTTTTATCACATGACCGATGATAATCGCTTGTGGGGGTCCGTCTCAGGGTTGTATGCTCCCGTGTACGAGTTTTGGTTCGTCCCGCGCATGACGTCACTTGATGAGTAGTTGCCGTGCGAATACACGAATAATAGTAATATTACAGGCTGAAGGACCCCGGTCGATGGCCTTTTGTATGTTTTGTATTATATGTATTATATTGTATTGTACTGAATATGCAATAAAAACTTTATTTATTTATTTATTTAGTAATATTATCAAAGAAAATAGAAAATTTTCTGGACATAGTGCGTTTTTATTAAACTTAATATTGAAGAAAGTGTTATAATATGGATAATAAATGCTTTCAGTCCTTGATAACATTTAGGGCTGTAGTTTAAGCGTTGGTGTTTTAAATTAAACTTATAGTCACTGTCCAGAAAATGTTTATAGGAAACAGAAGCGGTCTTAACGTAAATATTGTCTATTATTTTTGTGGCTTTTAAACACTGTTTCCACAAACTTTTTCGGGAATCGATAAAATTTAATGTTTTTATTTAAAGGGTTTTTCTTGGACTGGTTGTCCGAATTGCATCCAAATATGCCACACCGCATTTTAATAAATGCCGGTTGGGTTGGGTTGTTGGGTTTGGGTTGGTTTCGAAGCTTCGCAATTTTTCTGTACCTAGACGTTAGTCACTGAGTTCGCAAGCGCGAGATGACTCGGCAAGCGGGCGGACTCGGGACGTTGGTTAAGGAAAAAATATCTGCTTACCGAACACAAAAACGACAACTTAAACAAAAAGTAGAGCAAGTTAACATCCAAAAGCATAGCAAAAAGAAGAATTTTAGCAGCAGATAATTAAAAAGCACGTTAAAGATTTAAAAACTCATCAAGTGACGTCATTAAGACCCGCCCAACATGCGCACCATCCTATCTTAAGGTGTATGTATCTTGATACGGGTCATTCCTGTGGTATTTCTTCATATGGGCTATTCCGGGAGCTTAAATAAATTAATATCATTTGTACTGGGGTAGGGATAGGGAAAAAATAACTTCGTTACCATTGATAAAGAAAATGGACTCAATAAATAGTTCTACCAAGACAACATTTTTCGGACCCAATAATATACTTAAAAAACCAAACCAAAGTTAAATATTGCGACAGATGCTTGGTCAAAATTGGTAAAGGTTTAAGGCATTATTGCACAGCAATAGAGACAAATAAAAATGCCCTTAAATTGATTGTAAATCTACCAGAGAGGCAAAAAGAGCCAGTCATCAAATCCCTGATACGCGAAAAAATTGTTAATGCAGAACATTTCAGCGGTAAACAGCAAATTTTGCAAAATATAACGATCAACTTAGCTACAAAAGGCTTAAGGCAACGATTAACTTTCAATTCTAAGACGTAAAATTTTCATCTGTCAAGTAGCTTTTGGGACCGACTAATCATATGAAATTATTTACAAATTTTATACGCTGCTCTGCTGGGCGTAAGTCGGTAGCTGTCCGCTACAAAAAGAACTTATCTATTAGATCTACGGCTCTAGAGCCTCTCTACAAAATTAATGAATTTAAATAGAAGGTAGAAACGCGTAAAACAACAAAGCAAAGAGGCCGTTTGTATGGTGTGATGCTAAAGAGAGATTAAATGAGGTTATTAAACGAAGAAATAAATGTGTAATGTAGCTGTAAAAGTTATGGACAGGGTTACTTCAAAATTTGCTTAACAATTATGCCTGAAAATTATAGTTTTGATGACAATACGATCCATCAATGTAAAGAGGATGAAGTGGATTCCACAGCCGAATATAACTCTTTACAGCCAAGGTGGAAGCGTAAACAGGGAAAGAAAATTGACTGAGGTGCAGAGATTAATAATGCTGTGTATTGTGCCGGAGATAAATGACACCTATGAAAACATGGATTTGAATTTAATAAAATTAATAATATTTCCTTCAAATTCATCGCAGATTTTAAAATTATTTTAATAGTTAATGGTCACTGACCATTGGTCAGCAAACGGCAACAGCGTCGTATCCCTGTCCGTACTGTTTTATCTCTTTAAGAACCTTGAGAGGAATTAAGAAACACACCGTCAAAACTGAAAAAATGGATACAGAAACATGTTTTTCTTGGTTGGTGCCATTATTAGGTCGCAATCGGGCTCTTAAGAAACCTTTATAATCTGTGCTCTTAAGTGGCCAAAGAAACTAAAAAAGGTTTCAAGGTGAAACCTTCGAAAGAAATGCATGCCGTAAGCTTCTAAAAAAAGCAGATAAGCTCTTGGATCCAAAGAATTGGCAATTATATATATATGGATATATATATATAAATATAAATTGCTGTTTTTTGTTTTTATAATTTACGAGTTGTTCGAGTTTTTCTAGACGAATATGAACGGCACAAAGAATTGGCTATAATATATATAATAACCAATTCTTTGTGCCGTTCATATTCGCCTAGAAAAACTCAAACAACTCGTAAATAATAAAAACAAAAAACAGCAATTTATGGTTGCACATAAACTTTCTCAAAAAATGCAGTGAATTTTCATGCTCTTGGAATATTCATCAAGGATCTGATGTGATTTTGTTTTCAACTAATCTCAAATCATGTTAATGTTAATTTTTAAAGATCCGAAGCCTAAATTTGGCGTCATTTTCATGCAACCTTTTTTTGGTTCAGGCCCACTGTGAACAATGTAAAAACACCCCAACATTTTTTTTAAATAACAAGAATGACACAAATAAATTGAAGAAAAAAATAGGCATTAAAGTTTAAATTTATTCAAAATATTAAAAAAAAGAAGTATTTCGGTTCCGGGAATCGAATCCGAGCCTCGTGGGTGAAACCACAGTGCCATATGGCAGAAGATATCTTCACCGCAACGATGATGTTAACATACATGCATATATCCAATATGTACAATAAATGAAGTAAAATAATGAATTGCAAAATTTGTGCGTACAGGCGTTGGCAGGACTAGGATTAAATCATCAAGCTTAAATAATTCTTGACTCTCTCACTTAGGGTATCGATTTAAGGATTTAGTAGTAAATCATAATTAATTCATTTAATAAAAATAATATTATTTTATTGTTATTATTATACTATATTATTAATAAAAAACTTTAATAATTTAAATGACAAAATAAACATGGCAAGATCTATTGACAGGTATTAATAGGTCTTATTTTAATTTATTTTCACTCATAATATAACAAGTATAGTCTGAAACACGTTTGGAATTGCATATTCCCCTCTCGAGAAACAGTCAAACTCGCCTTCGGCTCGTTTGACAAACTTTTCACTCGAGCGGGATATGCCGTATTCCAAACTTGTTACAGAATATACTATTATACAAGCGTGCGGAAAGTTGCACTTTTTCGCACTCTCGACAGTATTATTTTTTCGACAAATGAAACTTGCAAGATTCCCTTGCTTTTGGAAAAAATATTGCACCTAACACGCGCAGAAAGTTTTTTTTCCGCACTGGACTGCTGACCGAACTATTTAGTTTAATAACTGCTACTTTCTGCATGGCCCAGTTTGCAGGACGACATTATGCTGCTGGACTCGTTCTGGCAATTTTTTCTCAGATGGTTTATTACAATATTTAATATCTTATTTAAGCCTGGTTCCGCCAAAATCTATCTGTGTGTAAAGTTATGAAACCTTCTTAAAAAAGTAAACTTAAATAAAATTCAATTGATTATAAATTTTTTTGCAAAACAACTTGGCAGGCTTATTTGTAACATAGAAAGCTATTCATTTAGCAACATGCACTTTAATTATGAGAACAAGAAATATTTTGTGCTGATTATACAAATTCTGACCCTATTTCTACTCAAAAGTAAACTCTATTTTATTTAACATTTAGCTGGAATCACCCTTAAGGATCTGTAAGTTTATTAAGGACTGATTTTGACCAAATTAATAAGTTTAATTGGCCACCCAAATTTTAGAGATTTAATTGAGGTGTTGATGTAGCTGTTTAAAATTACACCAACACCCCAAATAGCTGTTATTAGGCTTAAGCTAAATAGTTCAACTAAATGAGTTATGACACTCAGTTAGTAAACAATTTGATCTGGGTGTAAAGCATAGAAAAAGGAAAGTTTACACTGTAAAATCGTACTGTAACTGTAAATCGTATGCCTATCTACTTACGATTTTGATCCAAAAGTTGTCCAATGTTTTTCCATGCCCTTTCTTTTGCCAGATTATTTTTAAAATTCCTATCTGCTTTATCGTATAAATATGGGAATTTTTTTACTAATTCAATTAGTGTTGCTTCCATCATACAAGAAAAAAGCCCCAATAAAGCCCAAACCTTAAAACAGGCGACTTTTGTCTATGCAGGCGACCCCAAAACAAAACAACCACATCTATGACAGATTATATTGTGTTAACAGTGTTGCCAGACTGCCGGCTTTAAAATTTTAATCGCCAAAAAGTTTTTAATATAGAAATATTCTAAACCTAAGCTAATATTCTAATGGTGGGTTTATGCAGACTTAAGACTTAAAACTTAACATTTAAGACTTAAGAATTAAAAATTAAGCAAAAATTGTGGCGTTCATGCTGCATTTATCTTAAGACTTAAAACTTAAGGAGTAACCAATCAAAATCGATAAAAATATCACGTGGTATCAAGTTGGTACTACCAACATTAAAATGCCAATTAACATTGAAATTTTACCGTTGTGTTTTGCGAATGCGTATATTTTTGTTTATCAACGTTTTTTATAATCTGTGTTTACTAGTTTAATCTAAAATGGATCCAAACTATCTATCATTTTAGCACAGTAATTTCAAGAAAAACATGAAACACGAATTTTTAAATTTTCAGTTACAACAACCATAGAAAAAGAAACAGTTTAATTTAAAATTCCCTAGTTAACGCTTGCGCAAATGCGATTTCATGTAAGAATTAAAAATTAAGACTTAAGAAAGATAAAAGTTTATTATCTTTCAAGGTCATTTTTCTTAGTTCTTAAATGTTAAGTCTTAAGTCTTAAGTCTTAAATGGTGCATAAACGACCTCAAAGGAAATCAATGAAATAACCTAACTTTTAACTTCTTAATTGTTAAATGTTAAGTCTTAAGTCTTAAGTTTTAAGTCTGCATAAACCAGGCATAAACCTAAGCTAATAACGTCTACATGGACACTATAAACAAATAAGACATGTGTCAAACGCATACTTATCCCACGATACACAAAAACCAGAGATATCTCTGACAAAAACCGGTATGCTGGTAATGACGTCACGTGCGAACCAGATTTAAATTTAACAAAGTTTTGCATATGCATATGCTATACAGGGGTGTTTAATTACGATTTCTTTTAAGTTTTTTTCCGAAATTATTGTGTTTTAAAAGTATAAGCCATGCACGATGGTTTTTCAACGTCTTACGTACTGCATTTATTGAACAGCAATAACTATTTACAAAGTATTTATAAGCCATGCAAGGGTGTTTTATACCAGGATATTTATTAAGTTTGTGTTATATTTGTTGGACTTAATAACTATTTTAAATATGCCGGGCTGTGCTGTACGTAGCAGACAGCAGAAATATGAACAGAAATTCCAACACCCAACATAACCTAACATTAAATATTTTCGATTTCCAAAAAATAAAGATCTGGCAGCACAGAGAAAGGATAAAATGAAAATAAAAAACGGTAAGTAAAGGCAATTTTTGGTATACCCAATTTTCTGTTAGGTACTTATAGTAACTTTTTACCCTAACCACATATTTTTTATAGCTTGAATAAGTTCTTACTAATATTAAAAATTAAAACACCATTGTATCGCGATATCGGAAACCCGATTTAAAAGTGTCACAAAGTAAAAAATGCAGTGTTGAGATTTTTTTGTTACTTTTGAAATTTTAAAGCGAGCGTGCGTTATTAATACCTGTATAAATCGTATACCTATAACTTATAGGTATAGTATAGGTATATGGTATAATTTTGTTACCTTTCACATAAAAAAATGTAAAATTCGGTCTAGCGTAAGTTAAGTTAATTCAATTAAATAAAAAATAGTTTGAAAAATAATAATAGGAAGGTAGGAAATTAATTTTTGCTTAAAATATGTTACATTAGTATTAAAAGCGCTTGCTGCCAATTTAACTTTCTCTTAACATTTGTTACATTTAATAATTGCACCCAGGTCGTCCCATTATTTATAAATTTTCGAATATAACGCGAATTTTCAGTGCAAATAACATTCCAACCCAGTTATCCGCCAGCTTTTGGTTCGCACATGACGTCACACGATGCGAGAGATAGCTATAACATGCGCATCAGCATACCGGATTTTGTGTATCGTGACTTATCCCAAAGAACTTTGACTTAGCGCATACTTAACCTCAAATATCATGTCGCTTCGAGGTTGTTTGGGTCAGTTTTTCAAGTCTCTACTTCAATACACAACAGCAGCAATATTTGAAATACCAATTATTGGTATTGGTAACCAATATGCACTGCTGCAGTTGTGTATTGAAGTGAAGAGTTAACAAATTGTACCTAACTACACAAATTTACCATATCTTTAATATTTGTATCTACTCCCACATGAAAAGCTGTGACTTTATGGCGTTTTAGCCACGGGCTGAAGTTAGCAACAGTGGCTTTTGGGTATTTGGGTATAAATTAGGAAAGAGTAAGGTTAAAACCGTTTAAAGTTGACATATGTCAAATGTGTCCCACATTTAAAACGCTCGAGCGTAATAATAATTTTCACATTAACTTAAATGTTGTGTAGCCTTTAATTATTCTTAAAGATTGTTTCAAAAATATTCCCAAAAAATGCTCCTGAAATGAGCCGGATTATTCCAGTGAAGTAGAGAATATTCCTGAAGGATTCTTAATTAAGAATCCTTAAGGATTGTTTCAGACATATTCCCAAAGAATGCTTCGGAAATGTGCCGGATCATTCCAGATAAGCAGGGAATATTCCTGGAGCATTGAGGAAGATTGATTGCGGTCTGGGTCATTATATAATATCGATATCGTGGTAATATCATATATTTAAAAATGTGGTAGGTATGTATACCTATATTTATTTGGTAGGTATATATACCTACCACATTTTTAAATATACGTACCGTATCCGTATACGGATATTTCAATTAATCTGTAATTTTTATATAAATATACCACATTCATAGGATAATCCCAGTGTGGGTCGAAGGACGTCCTGAGGTCGTATGTGCTTGCTGGGGCGCTCTGAGAATAAGAACCTTATGCCCTATAATGAAATTTTACAGAAGATATCGCATATACGATTGAAGTCCGCGCAGCATGTGCGTTTGTGTACTAACGCCTTTTTGTGATAACGCTCGACTTTGTAAATTCGTAGCATTGTTAATTTTTAAGATAAACAAATCACAATTGGACTTTTCAAAAGATCGTGTACCAATTCACTTACAATTTTCATAATCTTGAAAATCAGGTTTGTTTTCTTAGAGAGCGTTATAGCGTATATATAGGTTTGGTAATAATGCTCACAAATAATAACAAAAACGTATATTTAAAATTAAGAAAAAAAACAATTTAAATAATTTACACCCACACACAAACAATAAATTTTTAACAACGTTTTACTTGACATAACTGGGAGGTCCAGAAGAGACAGGAGCTGTGGGCGCAGCACTATATCGGGCGTTTTTAGAAATTTTAACTTTAAATTGGCTCTCCCGTCTTCTAAGAATAAGCATAGTCGTTAAAATTCCAATGCCGAAAACGACTAAAAAACATATTAAAGCGAGTAATACGATTCTTGATAAGTAATCGTCCAGTACACATCTGCATACAATTCCTGCTATTAAAGTGATTAGAACCACTGTGATCGTTATGCAAGTCAATGTAGAAAACGTGCGATTGCGAGTAACTAAAATAATTATAATTAAATATTAGTAAAGTAGTTTTTAACGCCTACATACCTGTTTGCACTGTAACTTTGTTAGTCATTTTTAACATTTTTTAACAAAAAGATGAAATTGAACATTACGTTTATTATTTAGGGAAATATTTCTTATCTACTGATAACCCAATAAAAAGTCTAGTTAATACAAATATTACTTTTAACACGATAGATTTGGCGGCGTTTGCCTTGAAATTAAATAGCAAGTAGTATATAAGTAATTATCATGTTTTTAAATAAAAAATACGTTTTATTTACAATAAGCTTTATTGCGTATTACTAAATATCAATTTATTTAAATTAAATACAAATATTTTTATACAATAATATAAAATTGAAAATAATTCATGTTAATTCAATATTAAACAATTAAAATGTAAAATAAAAAGAAAGGTAAATTAAAAACTACAATAAATTTTTTTTCAATTTAAGACTAAAAAAATTATCACAATTCATATTCAGTCAGTTCTCCCCATGTTGGACCAGTTCTCAATTTAACAGGAAAAGGCACTGTCAAATGAACAGCACTTTCCATGCATTTTTTCATAATTTTAGCCATTTTTTGTGTGTATTTGATGGGCACTTCATAAATCAATTCATCATGAAGATGAAGAATCAGCTTAGGTTTTATTTTTGATTTCATAAAAACTTCCAAAATTTTTTCTTCTATCATTACCATTGCTTTTTTGGCAATATCTGCGGCTGAGCCTTGTACTGTAGTGTTTATTGCCTGTCTTTCAGCTTGACCTAAAAGTATTATTTATTATTATCTCAGTTTCCATCTGGTAACTTTTAAATTCGAAAATAAATTTATATTTAGTTTTGCATTTTTTCAGTTAGTTGATTGTTTTAAAACTTTAACATGGTTTATTTTTGAAATAACTAAAAAATTATGTGGTGGGCCAAAATGACAGGGCTGTTGAATTTCAGGCATTTTCCTATAAAAATAGGTCGAGAAATGATTTCCAAGGGAGCTACAGCCCCCGAAAGAGAAGCCCCTGAAGATGTTTTTATTTAATATCTCCAAAACTGTTTAAGATAGAAAAGTGAAATTTTGGGATATAATCAAACTTTTTATAGCCAATAAGTTGGAATAATAACAAATTCAAAATTTTTATAAGGGGTGGGTCAGATAGAAAGGGAGTGGGGGTAAAACTTTTTTGTACGTATCTTGTGCTATGATTTGATATTAGATTATAAAATTTCAGAGTTTTACACACAAAAAAGGTCCTCTTGATAAACTTCGATAGCATGCACCGTTTTCACTTAAAATCGATTTAAAAATTACCTTACATACACAGCAAACGGAAAATTATAGAGGTGTATAGGATGACGCCACGTTTGAATATCGATTTCTAAATCTCCCTACGGTATAGAGTTGTATTCGTCAGTCGAGCGTTTCAATACTCTCCACAGTATAGAGGTCGTAATTTCACTTTTGAACTAGTATTAATATAAATAGTATATTACACTACAAGGGCAGAAAGTGTGAGATTCCTGCACTGCGCGCCATGATGCCCGAGGCGAAGCCGAGGGCATCATGGCGCGCAGTTCAGGACTCTCACACTTTCTGCCCGTGTAGTGTATACTATTTTTCTTACTACCTCGGCCGAAAATACAACCCGGCCGAAAATACGGGAAAAAATTAAATGTGTATTTATGTACCTATCTCCATTTGAAGAGCTTTATAAATAAATAACAGTAGGCCGTGAATTCAGCGGTGCCAATACAGTAAAAATAAAACGTTGTATTTTAATTAACAAATTACTACTTTATAACAAATAAAAGTACCATTAAACACTTAAAACAACATAAAAAGTAAAAAAGTAAAAACATAAATTGTTTATTTGTTGTTATAATTGCAAAATTATGGTTTAAAACTGTCATATTTTTGTGTTTCTCATGTTGGCAGTACGAAATTTGAATGTTAAGCACACGACTAAAAAATTTTTACTCCCGCTATTAGAGTGTGCGCGTATAGCTTGACCAATGCAAGAAACGTAAACTTTCTGCCGTGGAATCGGGGACGAAACAACGTATTTTGAGTCGAGGTAGTAAGAAAAATTATTTTATGCTTAAAAAACTATATACGACATGATTGTGATTTTTTTCATTTTATTAATTAATTAAGCTGTGTTGAATATTTTTCCTAAAGGAATAATTGCCAATGGGCCATTAATTCATTTGTTCGTAGATGCTACAATAACTTGCACTGGTGTGTACTTTTTCATCAACCAGATTTAAATATTACAAAATTAACATATACCAGTGGAGATAGTGCAGGGTCTACCAACAGACCTAATTACTAAATTATTAAAGTTTAATAGCATATCGATCATTTTTCAACATAACCTCTTAAATTTTTAATACAAATATAGGTAGGTACAGTTGCGGACAAAAAATTTCGGGCACCATTTGACATTCACTGACACATGCGGTGAAACAACCTTTATACCCTGGTGACCTTAATTTTTAATTGTGTCACTTCTTGCCTTTAAATCAGTATTGTTTTGGAGGTTTTTTTAATCTCATGCTTTTACCCTGCCTTAAGAAAAACTTCACATAAAATAAATGGTATATTACTAGTATTACAAATGATTAGAAAAGTCCACTGTACTGCTTTTGAAATTCTTTGCTTAACAAACTGTATATAACAGTTTGTTTAACTCTTTTTTATCATGAATCGTAGGTTAAAATGACGTTGGATAATACGCGTCTTCTTGATGTCTGCCTTTAACTGGACTAAATTAGCAAATTAAAATTAATATTTTGTCATTGCTCCATTAGCTTGTATAACTTTCGTCAATCGAGTGTTCATGGAGAGACATACATTCCTGTTATAGTTCTGGGGCAATTCATGCCATGCATCGGTGATGGCGGTCAATAACTCCTCTTTATTGTTAAATACTAAATCCCGACGTTGTAAATTTCGTGTTAAAAGACCCCACATGTTCTCGATCGGGTTAAGATCTGGGCTTTGACTTGGCCAGTCAATAACGTCTATATTATGGTTCTCGAACCACGCCGCTACCCTGTGTGCAGTATGAACAGAGCAATTGTCCTGCTGAAACACAAAATCACTGTTGGGGAACACTCGTGTTACCGAAGGGAGCATTACGTCTTCGAGGACCCTAATATAGACGTTGCTGTTAAACCGATCTTGCACATATAGCATTATGCCAGGATCAACGGCTGAGACCCATGCCCACATGTTCACAGAAAAACGTCCGCTCTGTTTTGTTCCTTAAACATATCTCTCTTCGTAACGGGTATTTCTTGGTCTGTAGACTTTTAGCCGACCATTTGGAGACGACTGAAAAACTTTTTCATCGGAGAAAACAACTCGGTTCCAAAAGGCATCATCTTTAATAATGTGTTCTAAAGCGAATCCCATTCTCGTTTCTCGATGGCGAGGTGTTAGTCGTGGTTTCCTTGCGGCCGCACAATTTATTAGTCCAGCTGTTCTAATGCGCCGATGTGCTGTCCAAACAGAAATTGGAAAATTTGTTCTGTTTACCGCCTGAATAGCGGTGGTAAAGGGAGCATTTTCTACAACATGAATCAATCAATTCGTCAAGTGTGGAGCCTCGATGTCGTCCAGAGCCACGTCGCCGCTCGACCATTCCATCTTCTTCAAATTTTTTTACAATCGAATTAATTGTACTTTTCGGTATCCCCAACAATCCAGAAACTTGCCTTTGCGTCATTCCATTTTGGATATGGGTTATTATTAAAACTTTATGAAAGTAATTTACTGGAGGCATGCTTGCAAAGATTTGACTAAAATAAAACCTGACATTTGCAAAATTAAAATTTGAAAACGTCAAATGATAAGGGGAATAAAGCTTAAGCTACATCTACTTTATGAAATGACAGGAAAATTTCTGCCCGAAATTTTTTGACCGCCACTGTACTTTATATAATACATAAATATACTTAACATCATATCCTCTGTGCTTTACATACCTGAGTTGTTACGGTAAATAAAAATCAGACAAAGGAACCAAAGAAAGGAACTATTTTTAACAAAATCATATGGAGAAATGAGAAAATTCATCCATCAAAAGATCAAAACTTCTTGCAATATTACCCTCTTTTTATACTTTCAGAAATATTGACTAGAACAGTATTAGAGAGACTCCAGTTTCTATAACTTGGTAGAGTAAAGAGAAGTCGAAACCGTTGCGATATTGCATTGCGCTGTTTTTGTATAATTCTCGGGGACATTAACGAAAATCATTGCCAGTAAAATTCGAAAAGCTTGAGTTTCTATGTCTCTGAGGAGAATAGGAATCCGAAGTTGCTGCACCATTGGACTGAACCCTTTTTTAATAATTTCTAGAGACATATATGACTGCACCATTCGACAGGGTCGAGTTTCGACTCCTCTGTTGAATATAGAAAATCAAAATAATGTATCTTGTAAGACACCATTGAGTTTGACTTTAAATATAGTCGTGCATAGGTATAGAGCCGAAAAATATAAAAACAAAGCACGATTCAATACAGTTATGATAAAACTTTAAGATTTGATATTCAAACGCGGAGTCATCCTATACACTTCTATAATTTTTCGTTTGCTGTGTAGCATAAAAATTCATAATGAAATCACAACTAGAGAAAATGATTCAGCGTAGGCCATGGACAATTTTTAAACATGACCATGGACGATTTTTAAACACCCTGTCACATATTAAATGAAACTGTCACCTGTCTTAAATATTTTTTCCTAAAGATGGCAGCTGTGTTCCATGGCCTACTCTGAATTTTTCTCTCTTGTGAATTCATTATGTTTTTTTATGTTATGTAAGGTAATTTTTAAATGGATTTTAAGCGAAAACAGTGGATAATATCAAAGTTTAACAAGAGGACCTTTTTTGTGTGTAAAATTCCGAAATTTCATAATCTGACATCAAATCCTAGCACGAGACACGTACAAAAAGTTTGAGTGGTTTTAACCCCTATTCCCTATCTATCTGACCCACCCCTCATGGAAATTTTTAATTGTTATTATTACATCTTATTGGCCATAAAAAGTTTGATTAATTCCCAAAATTTTACTTTTCTACCCTGAACGGTTTTGTATATATTAAATAAAAACCATCTTCAGGGGATCCTCATTTAGGGGCTGTAGTTCCCTTAGAAAGCATTTCTCGACCTATGTTTATAGGAATTTTTTTCTTATTTTTGTACGTAGAATCTGCTGTTAAAGTATTGCACGCTAATTATGGGGCACCCTGTATATTAGGGTGCTTTTTTTCACGACTATTTTTATTTTTTCGCTTCCCACTCAAAATCTTGTTGAAAATGTTCAAAAAAAAAAATTCCCTGATAATTTGAGCCCTTAATATTAACTCTAAGTACTCTCCCAAAGCGTATAGATTTCCCATTTAAAATACACGTAAACTTTGATTTTTTTTTTAAATATCTATATCTCAGCCGCATTTTATGCTATTGGATTGTTCCAAAAAGGGATTTACTCGTAATCTAGAGTTCTACAAAAATGCTTTATGTGCCATAGCTGTAATCCTGCTATAACCTGTAGGATGTACGGGTCACTAAATCTGATTTTAGTGAAAAATTCTCATATTTTTTAAGATATTTCAAAAGAGACTGGACTTTTAGTTTTCTATTTTTAAGATAACATTAGAGATGTAACTTGAAAAAAAAAGATCCGTTTTTTTTTCAGGTTTTTTTCAAATGGTTTTTTTTTCATATTTTATGCTTTTCTGCAAGATTAGTTTCAT